TATTGACGCAATTTACAAGAAGAGCAAGAAAAAGAATTTGACGGCTACGAATAAACTTCACTTTTTTGCTTTAATTTAAAAAAACGCGCTAAGTATTATAACGATTACAACTTTCGATCGATATATCTCCGAAACAGTGGCTCGTAGGAAAAATCGTATTACAACATTTTTTATAGACAATTTTGTAATCTACAATTTTGGTCTGAGATATTTTTATGATAAAACTTACCATTTTGCTGGAAATCAAAAAAAGGACTCCTGCACTAGAAGTGATCTGACCCCATAGACAGAGATCGCTTTTAGTGCCGCCTGACTATCGCGGAGTATAGCAATACTTCTATTGCGATAGTTGCGTTGGAGGTTTATCTTTATCTCTTACGACTTATAGTATAGACCTCGGCTTGGCGGATATTAGCTTCCATTTGCCAACTCCCTCTGCTGATATTCGGAGTAGAGTCCCTTCGGTGAAGGGCCAGTGGCATTTCCTCACTTAGCGCCTTCATCTGCTGGGACGAGATTACCTTCCCTTTGCCAACTCCCTATGCTGTCATTCGGATAGAGTCTGTTTGGCTGCCTGTTTGATTACCATATGAAACGGTGTCAGTTCTAGCATGACTTCCAGGACACGTACGCATTGCGCCCGACGCGCAGATGCAGGCAAGTCTTTGCAGCTTCGACAGTTTAAGTCCTATCGAAGTCTGCGATGCTTTAGAAACCCAAGATACCGCTCCATACGTGATAATCGGTCTTACGATCATGGTGTACATCCATCTGATAGTCCTTGGGGAGCACCCCCAGGATTTCCCAGCAAGTCGGTTGCAAACCATGAGTATTTCGTAGCCTTGGTTAGGGTTAGGCCCACATGCTGCTTCCATCGTAGAGTGGAATCCAGCATGAGACCCAGGTACTTGACCGTGCTGGCCATCTTCACCACTCTACCGTCAAGGGATAGATTTCTGAGGCCTGGCCGTGATCTCCGTCTAGTGAACGGAATGATTGTAATTTTAGAGGGGTTGATGTTCAAGCCAACCCCACTACACCATCCCTTTGACAGCCCCAGTCCCCTCTGTACGATATCGCAGAGTGTGTCTACGAATTTACCCCTAGCTAAGATAACAATGTCATCCGCATATCCCTGACAGCGGATTCCATTTCTAGTTACCAGCTCAAGGAGATCTTCCACAACAAGGCTCCAAAGTAGGGGGGATAGTACTGCGATCCATCTGTGTACCGGTGCTGCCACTCTCCTTTTCTCCAGTGCTCTTGAGACGTATTGTCAAAGGCACCTTCGATATCAAGGAAGGCACATAACATCACCTCGCCCTCATCTAACGAACTTTGGATCTCCGAGGTTAGCTGACACAGAGCAGTATTTGTTGATCTGCCTGCTCTGTCAGCATGCTGCTTCCCATGAAGCAGTGAAGCCTTCAGCACCTTCGATCGTATAATATTTCGTGGTCTATGATCTTTTCTATATTCTTAAGCAGGAAGGAAGTAAGATTGATTGGCTTGAAGGATTTCGTCAATGCGTAGACTGCGCACCTACTTTGGGTGTGAAGATCACCTTTGAAGTGCGCCATGGTTCTGGGATATATGCCAGCGCTAGGGTATCCCTCATCAGCCGAACAAGGTGGGGCAGTAGTACCTGCTCTCCCTGTTGCAGAAATGCTGGAAGGATGCCATCCGCACCCGGGGACTTATTTTTTACAAAGGAGGCCAAAGCCCACTTAGTGGAGTCTGCAGTGAAGAGCTGATTTGCGACAATCCAGTCTAAGTGTGATGGCTTTAGTTCGATCATAGATCGGATCTGGTCTTCTTGAATTGTCTCCGGGAAATGCGCAAGTAGAAGTGCTCTTTCTTCTGCGCTGGACGTATATGTCCCATAAGATCTTTTAATTGCTAGTACTGTGTCCGTCTTGCCTCTAGCCAAATCTTTATGCAGCCTTGCTGCCTCTGGCGTTGAGGAGACGCTTTCACAGAACTTCCTGAAGCTCTTCTGATTTACTGTCCTAATCTCCTTATTGTAAGCTGTTTGGCTGCACCTGTAGTCCTCCCAGTTTCCGGTACGCTTAGCCTTATTGGATAGCTTGCGTACCGTTCTTCTAAATTCTGAGAGCTTACTAGACCACCAGGAGCAGCTGCGGCTCTTGGTGGTTGTCTTTAGGGGACAGCTGCTATGATATGCTTCTATAATGAATGGTTTAACGCAGACAATCTGCTTTACAATCCAGAAGCCGTTGCACTCCTATCCAGCTGCCCCCTTCTACTAACATTTGTTTCAAGCGAGTCACTAAAGGTGGCCCAGTCCGTGTTCCTAGGTATACGCTTGGGAGGGAGTTGTTTGACCTCTATCCCCAGTGCGAATGTTATGATCCGACATGGAAGGTTCCGATGACACTCTCCATTGTGAGATCAGCCCTGCCATAGACTCGTTACTTAGAGTGATGTCCAGCACCTCCCTTCTAACGCTAGTTACAAAGATGGGTTCGCACCCCACGTTTGCAATACTTAAATTCTTACTTGCTATAAACTCAATGAGAGACTCACGCCGTGTGTTGCAGTCCGTGCTGCCACATTCGATGTGGTTGGAGTTAGCGCCATGATGAAGTCCGCTCCTTCGTCGTTCCTTGCTTGAACACCGACCAGATCCTGTGTTAGGAACTCTGAAATGCAAAATAAATCAATATCGTTCCTAACTACTATACAGGTTCTAGGTTTCTCACTCGAGAAATCCCAGATTACCTTGTTCGACTCCCCTGACCTCTCCTTTACTGATCTATGACTCCTGGATCAGCAGTATGCCCAGTCCATCCGTTGTGAACCTGCTCGCGATAACCGCCGATTCCGACGCCGCGTGGTGCAGGCTCACTTGGTCCCCGCTAGGTCCGTGAGCCCCTCCAGAAGCTCTTGAGTGCAGGGTAGCGCCCCCCCTTGCACGCGCGTCTTCTCGGTAGGGACCTTCATCGTTGTCTCAGCAATTGCCGGCTGCTACGACGTACTTGCGCAGGGTTGAGTCGCCACCTCATCCACCTGCATTATTTCTCCTACATCACCCTCGGTGGTAGTTTTGGGCTTAAATGGCCTCAGGACAACTGAGCTGAACCTGTAGTTCAGGCGCTGAGGCCCTCGTTCTGGTTCCGGATGAGCCCGAGAGCAAACTCGTACGGCTTGCCTGCGCACCTGGGGAGGAATATCCTCGTGCTATGCATGGGCGGAATTTCGTCCCCCTTCTTTACGCAGAGGATGGGGCCATTCCAGCCTGTCAGCTTGGGAGCGGTCTCCCTCAGCCAAACAGCCGACCTCTCATCCTTGCAGTCAACCTGCAGCATGCCTCCTTTTAAAAAAAAACCCCATGGAAGGAGGCTTTGTATCCAGACCCTCTGAACATCTCGACCCCACTGTCTCCGCCGGGTAGTTCAGCGGCAGCACAGCCACACGAATGCCTTTGAGGGCATCCGCATTCCTGCGCTGTCCCTCCACCGCCCGGGGGGCGTTTGGGGCTGAGTTGCGCTTACTGGGCAGTGGCCTCGATTACCGCCATGTCGCTTCCTAATGGCCGCGGTATTACCACGCTTTCGCTTTTCTGAAGCAGGGGAGGCACTGTCGCCTCTCACCCTGTTTTGCGCTAGTTTTTCGGCTTTCTCCGGACTTCTTCCCTCCTGGAGGTGCCTCAGGTACCACTTCAGGCTGGCACCGCTCGTGCCTTTTCGCCTGAGATCATCCAGTTGGTGGTAGCGGGGGTAGTCTGCCTCCCCTCTTCCTCTGTCTCCGAGCAGTTGATCTTGCTCGAGAGAGTATGCGTGGGTTTCGCTTTTTCAGCACTGGCCGCAATAGAAATAGCCTGCTGAGCGCCGTTGCACGAGGGCATGCCATCATCGTCGTCCCTGGCATGCTCCTCGAACAACGCACGCTTCTCTGGCGAAAGGGCGTCCAGGAAGCTGAACTTGCGTTTAGCCCCCGATACGCCCTTACCTGCACCGTTGATTTCGTTGCTATCCTTGTCCAAGTTCGTTCGCTGTTGTTGTTGCCTAGTTCCATTGGTTATTGTTGTGTGTGTTGTTTATTGGCTGTTCATCGTGTTCGTACGACCCTTGGCTCGTCATGGCGAGCCGTCAGGTCAGTTTTTGTAAAGGGGAACAAAAATTCCGCCGCGCCAGAGCGCCATGACGCGGTAAGGCCACCGTTTCTTCCCAAAGGGGCCCGGTGTTGGGAAGGCTCCATTAGACTATAGCCGAATTTACCTACTGGCTGCAAATCATCCAATGGGCACGGGAGCCTCATAACACCCATAACACATATTTTATTATTTAATTATATTTTTTGTTGCAATCCTTTTTAGGGGAAACTTTAGTATACCATCCCACGATTTCAGGGTTAAAAGGCGTATGGTTTGATAAAGAATATATATTATTATAGCCGCCGGAAACTTATAGTTTTCGAGATATTTGCATTTTAATTTCACAAATTTTATCTTACATTTTCTCGATTTATAGTTAATTTTTCTTTGGTGTTATTCACTTGAGAATCTCCTCTATTCAACCATACCCCTTTTAACCCTGAAATCGTGAAAAATATAAATAATTTTGATTAAAAGTTTAAAATTATTAAAGAAATACAAATTATACTATCTACTGCGCAAAAGAACTTTTCACTTGTGATATATTTACAGTCGTGACTGACAAATTGCAGCTATGATAGCGTTTCAGTCATCACTGACAATTTTCAGCTATGATGGCTTTATAGTCAGCAATGACTCAGAAAAAAACATGAGAGTGAGCAATATAGATACATATATAGTGAATAAATTCCGAATACCCATGGGTTAAAGAGAGACGCAAACTCACACACATGCGTTTGTTTACATCAGGTTTTGCACAGGGCTCTTAAGATAATGATAGAAACTTTGTTCTGCGCGCTGACAAAATTTTTTCAGCTGTGACTGTCATATGACCAGTCAGATGACTGTCACTGTTCTTGTAGGGAGGAAGCTTTTGCAGTTGCTTTTTCGGAAAGCTCATAATAAAAGAGCTTTCTTGCTCACACGCTTATTATATTATTTATATGAATTTGTATGGATGCATATGTGCTCACTTGAATGGCCTATCGCCAATGACAAGCAACAAGTGGTCAAAGCTTATTTGTTACAGCTGATTGTCAAATTATCTCTTTAAAGATAGCTACACCAGTGAGTGCGTGTTCCGAAGTAAATTATTAAAACTCTTGCATATTATAAGTATATATTAAAGAAATGTCGAAAATAGTTGTGGACAATGAATCAGAGGTGATCGAGCGCCTTGCAACCGAAATTTCGAGATGCGCGAAACGAGCAATTGTTGAAAGCAGCGTCTTTCGCGTAGGACTCTCAGGTACGTTTGTACTTTTTTCTTAGTGGTTGCTAAGTAGCAATGTTTGTTTGCTTGAGTCACCTCATCTTTCTAATTATGTATAAACATTTATTATTACCGACCTATGCGAAGCCTTAAACAAAATAACAGTGAAATATTAATTATTAAGGTGGTTCCGTGTTAAACTTTCTAAGCAAAGCAATTCCACGTATTCAAACTGACTTGAGTAAATGGAAATTTTTCTTCTGTGACGAGCGATATGTTAACGAAACAGATCCAGAATCAACTTACGGCACTTATAAAATAAAACTGGTACCACAAACAGACCTACAGTTACATCAATTTGAACCAATTAACGTGAATTTGCCACTAGCGGAATGTGCCGCTGATTATGAGCAAAAAATAAGAGTAGAGTTCGGTGCAAGCGTTGGTTCAATTCCTGAGTTTGATTTGTTACTTCTGGGGATGGGGCCTGATGGTCATACCTGCTCTTTGTTTCCCGATCACGCGCTACTCGATGAGAAAACGCTTTTGATAGCATCCATTGCTGATTCACCAAAACCGCCGCCACAGCGGGTCACAATGACCTTGCCGCTTATCAATAATGCCAAGTCTTGTATATTTGCTATGTGCGGTGCAAGCAAAGCAGAAATGGTTAAAGTGAGTACTGCCAAAAATAACAATAACAATTCCAATAAACTGTCTCCCTCTTGTTTCTTAAACATAGCGTGTGTTCGTTGATAAGGAGAGTTTACCAGCTGGAAAAGTTTCGCCTAAAAATGGTGAACTAGTGCTCATATTTGACGCTGAAGCTGGCAAATATATACAAAAATAAATCATCTTACGCTAATATGGAAATCGTAGGCTACATCTGTACATACATATCTCCATAATTTCAAAATAATATTTTGCGCTTGTAATATTAATAAATTTAATAAACAATAGGTAGTATATTTTAAAATCTATAATACAAAAATTTGGCAAGCTGTAACAGCACCCGCTGTTTTAAAAATCACATGAATAAAATGGTTAACCGGTTAAATTCTTCTTGATTTTACTCCAGCAACTTGTGTTGCTCGAATCGTGCGCCCGATCTTTGTTGTATTGTTCGCGAAGTAATGGATCTGATGGTCCCCAGTTACCAACGGGTCTGAAGGCACCATAAACTTTTTCAGTTAAACTTTCACCTGGTTGGCGTATAATAGCCACTATAGCCCATATTGGAACTTGAAGAACTCCCAAAGCAGTAATTGTCCAACCCAACGCTGAAATTATAGACAAAATCAATCAAAGTATCAAACTTTAGTTCTTATGTACGACAGTTTATTGAATGCACTTACCATACGCCCAGTTAGGATACTGAACATTGTTGTAGGTTAACGATTCATATGTCGCATAAAAGTAAATCAGAATCAGTGTCATTATGCTGGGTGTGATGAAAGCCCAACACCAACGCCAATAGTTGCCTACTCTATGGCCAATCATGAACTCGATGTCCTTGCATAGCCGATCCACGCCATAAACCCAACCCAAAACATACAACTCCAATATGCCCAAAATCAGTGCGATCATAGAAGCGCCATAGAAGTCCACCAAAGTCAAAATAAATTGGCCGCCCTAGAAGTATATACGACAAACTAAACATAAGGAATTTTATTATAATTGACATTTTTTTTTACCGGTGTCACGTAGGCTAACCCAATAAAGAAACTAATTACGGATATAGCTAATGCACAGTGCCATTGCTTAACGTGGGGAAAGCTGTCGCGTATTGCCGTGACGGTACACGATGTCATTGCTATGTTTGAACCGATGCCCAGAATGAAGAGCATCAGGAAAAACAGTACTGAGAATATTTGCGGCAAAGTTTTGAACTTGGCAATCGCATCCGGGTACGAAATAAAGGCAAGTCCGGTGCCACCTTTGACCACTGTACCGATGTCATCCGTACCAATTTCATAGGCCAAATTTCCCAAAATGCCAAATATGGTAAAACCTGAAATGAGCGATGTGAACGTATCCAACGTAGTGACAATCATTGCGTCGCGGTGGATGTTATGATCAAACTTGTTGTACGAAGCGTACATGATTATGTTACCAAAGCAGACGGATAGTGAGTAAAAGCACTGAGTGACCGCGGCATACCAAACCTACAAAAAATATTATTAGATTATTATTGGTCAGTGGATTGAAGTATGTACACACCTTAGGATCCAGAATTTTGCTCCAATCGGGCTTTATAAAGTAGATTATGCCGTCCGCGGAACCTGGTAAAGTAACTGCGCGCACCAATAACACAGCCATAATTACATAGGGAAATAAAGCCAGAAAATAAGAAGCTTTGCCTGAACTTTTCACACCTCTGCGTATAACTAAAAATATTGTTGTCCACGATACAAGAAGTCCTAACACCAGTTCCCAGTTCGGCAAACCAATGCCATCGTCAATGTTATCCTTCTCGCGCAGTACATCCTTGCTGCAGTTATTCAAGTGCGATTAGATCAGACAAAACATTAACTCATGGTATTATTTTAAGCCATAACCCTTTAAAAAAATTTTCCATAAACTCTTAGGTGTAACTTACACAAAGTATAATTCCGAACTCGAGATTATGCGCTTATTATTGTCCCTTGTTAGATTAATGTAAACCAAACTCCAATTGGCAGTTCGAACTGTGTCTATGAATTTGGCTCCATCGAGCCAACTACGTGGCGCAGAATCAATACAATTCGATCCCCACTCCGGTCGACAGTAGGACCAGGGCAGCGGGTCACGGAATGATTGCACCAGATAGTATGCGATTAGTGCACATATGGACTCGTAATATGTAGCCAATAGGTATACCATGAAAGCCTGCCCTAAGCCAATACCTTGAAAGTTAAGTTAAGATGCAAATGGAATGTAGTAGCAAATAGTATTATGTACAAGAACAAAACATGTACATTCTTGTAGATAAAACTATAAATGTATGTGTTTTAGGGGTATGTGCAAAAAAAAACTAAATTACAAGTTTAAAAAACAAGGTTAGAACTTAGAAAGGCGGAATTGAACATATAACGGGTTTCAGATGCAAATCTCATGGAAGGGAAAAATTTTAGAAGAAAACTAAATTTCTTATCAGCAAATAAAATGTTTGTTGTTATTATTATTACTATATATATATTTTGTAGTAGAAGGTAAGTATGGTATATACATTCCTAAGTAATTAAAATTGCTACCATGTACACTATAAGTTTAGTGAATGATATACAAGTAGTTTTCTTCGTGATATTTTAGTCGCATGCGATGTATGTATTTTTTAAGTTTATTATACTCTTGCAACATGCTACAGAGTATAATAGTTCTGTTTACCTAACGGTTCTTTGTATCACTTGAAACTAATCGAGATAGATATGGAGTTCTATTGTATTATATATATATAAATGATCAGGATGACCAGACGAGTTGAATTCCAAGTGACTGTCTGTCTGTCCGTTCGTGCAAGCGATAACTTGAGTAAAAATTAAGATATCTTAATGAAACTTTACACACGTGTTCTTTGGCAAAGTGAGGACGAATTCGTAGATTTATCGAAATGCCATAACTAAGCACTAAATTAATGTATACATCTATAATTTACTAGCAAATGGCACAAGTGGCATACAAACATTTTAATAATAGGTTTAAATATATGTATATCTCCGAAGCTACAACAATAAAATTCACTCAGAGCATATATTATAGGAATCCCTACCGACAGTGTGAAAATGGATAAAATCAGATTATAACCTCGCCCACCCCCCAGATAACGGTTTTATAAGAAACCACCTAAACGGCGATAAATCAATGATCAAATGCGCCAAAGACATTTAATTTTACGCACAGGATGATACAAACTACTAGCAACCAAATTCGGTACATACCATTCTCCTGACGATCCTATTTTACAATGCGAAAATGGGCGGAATCGGACTACGACCACGCTTATTTCCCATATACCACATTTTTAAATTCCATATGATTCTTTCACTTTCCAGTATACAAATCAAGAAGCGAAGAATATAACGGGATGAATCTTTGCACGAATAGTGCTTTTGCAGTGTGCCACCTTATGACCAAAAATTGTCCAAACGAATTGGAACTGTTCAAGCACCAGGTACCGAATATGTGGAGCCCATCGCCTATAGTTTTTTTTACTGAAAATATTGATCAATGTGTGAAATATATAATTGAAATTCAGAGAGAATCGTTTTCTGATAATCTTATGTCTAAATGTCGAAAATGGGCTGAATCGGTTCAATACTTTTCTTAGCCCCCATATACATATAAATATTTTTGAATTTCCGGTTTACTGCAAACCGCATATATCGGCCAATATGAGAGATTTCATAATAAAATTAGGTGGATGTAATTTTCTTATCATGGTGCATTTTTGTGCCTAAAAATCTAATTGATACTTCCTTAGCCCTCATATAACTAATCACAGAATTTTCAAAGGTGAGGTACTTTAATGAAACTCAGGGAGCATTTTATTCTGTTAATAGTATGCTGTATTGCCAAAAATAGATTAAATCGGGTCAATACTCCTATCTCTCATATACCTAGCATAAGAGTTTCAAATTTCCGGTTGGCCTTTTGTCATATATATCAGTTAATATGTAAGATATCTTAGCAAAGTTAACTGATTAATATTGGATATACTATATTTCAACGTATAATATTAGATATACTATAGTTTAATGCCGAAAATATGTGAATTTAGTCTACGAATTACCCCAACTCCCAAATACTACATATATTAATTTTCGTTATTCTAACAAACCTTATACCGAACCTTTTGTTCAATGTGTGAGTCATATATTTATAAAATTGCTTGAAAATATGATATCAAGTATACCTCAGCAATTTCAAAATTAACTCAATTAGCCCATCCCTTTCTCTGTCTCCAATATAGCCTGTATAATAATTTCGGTCATTTCCATCTGGCAAAATCTGTGATGCTTTAATACAATTTAGTGAACAAGTTTTCTTAAAAATTGTGTAGGAATATAAATGAAATTGCTCCAAATCTTATATCCCTAATATAATTAATTGCGATTCTCTGGTTGACATTTTTCAACTGAAGGTGATTTTAATACAATCTTAGCTGACGCAAAGTAAAATATAGTAATAAAACTAAGTGGGTTGGGATTTATAATATACCTTAATAAAATAAAATGTGGTTTAATCCATTTAAGATTTCGTCGAATAATGAATGATGAATTGTTTCGCAACAGTTTGTAATATAAAGTTTTCCTAACACTTGAAGGTATTTCTCCGGCTTTCATCTTTGCAAGTTGTAAGAGTATAAAATGTTCGCATACACCCTAGCATAGCGCTTCCTTACTTGTTAAATGATATAACTTTGTTGACGATATTTTAGTCGCAAGCGATTAACTTTTTTTAACAACAGGCGCTTTTATTGTTGAATATTATAAAGCAACAAGAGATGGCTGATAGTTGAAATTTGTGGGAGGTGATTTTTGTTTAAAACGCACATGCGCGACAATATATTTCATATACAAGTACTTGGATGTATACACGCTGCTGTTCAAGAAACAGGTATGGAACTAAATTTTTTTTATTAAAATCGCGCTAGTGAAAGAAGTCAGATTTACACATATTTCATAACATGGGTTCAGAATAGAATCTAATTACGTCGTGTAATCAATATTTTTCAGTAAAAAAAAAAAAACGATGCGGCTTTAGAAAATAATACCCAACTTCGTTGAAATGAGACGAGTGAGTGAACGAGAAGTACTTTCTTGTTTATGAATTCAAATTTGATTAAGATTTCATTAATTTTCGTTTTTTTATTATTATTTTCGAGAGTACTCACGTGGTACTGGCACGACTTTGGTTAATGAGTTCAGCAGTTCAGCTTCGCTCTTATAAAGCTTTATTCAGGAACTTGCAACTGTTTCATTATATGAATATTTTTACGAACTCAAGTACGAGCAAAATTAATATTTTGTGATATTAATACAAATTGAGTTGATTTGCAAACGGATACAATAAAATTGTCATTTTTAATTACTACGAGAACTTTTATTACGTCGAAATGGCGTTTTTCTTCGCTTAAAGCTTAATTGATTGTACTTACGTTTCAAACTGGCCCACCAAAATATAGAAAACGTGAGTCTCTTAAAGTTCAAAAGCTAGATTACTTAACATTTTATTACAAATTACTTCTATGATATATAAAAACTACAAATATCACTAAAGTTGTTGAGTTGTTTTATAAAGTATCCCGCGCAATACATATATATCTAAAAAACAATATACATACATATTTTTGGAGTTTTAGAAGCGATAAGCCTAACGATTTTTACCAATATACTCATATGTTCATATAGGAATAATGTTTGGTTCTTTATTCCAATAATCCAACAAAACTGTATTTATGGCATAAATATAGATATTTATCAGACTGAAAACATAATAAGAAGTTCTCAAAATTAAAAAAAAAAGTTTAACAAGTAAGGAAGTCCTAAGTTCGGGTGTAACCGAACATTTTATACTCGCGCACGTTGCAAGAATCAAAGCTCGGGAAATTACTTCAGGTGTTGGCAAAATTTTATATTAAAGGAGTATTGAACCAATTTTTTACACAAATACATACTATTATCGAGAGTTTCATTTATTTATTTTATTATATGAATTTCAATAATATATCTTACACATTGACCGATATTTTCGGTAAAAAGTTAACTATACGCACTGGGGTCCACATATTCACTACCTAGGGGCTTGAACAGTTTTAGTTCGATTTAGACAATTTTTGGTCACAAGGTGGCATACTTCAAACGCATTATTCACGCAAAGTTTTACCCCGATACAATAATTGTTGCTTGATTTGCTTAGTGGAAAGTGAAAGACGGATTTTAAAATGGTGTTATATGGGAAATAGGCGTGGTTGTAATCAGACTATCTAATTTTGAACGTGGTTCCTATAAAAAAAAATCATCTTATACCATCCCAGAGATAAAATTTAATGTCTCTGGCTTGTTTAGTGCTTGATTTATCGCGCATTTAGTAGTTTTTAACAGTACCGTTATATGGGGAGAGGGCGGAGTTGCCACCCGATTTCAACTATTTTCACAACGTCGGTAGAGATTTGTACCTAGTGAATTTTGTTATTATAGCTTCAGTGGTATAGAAGATATGCAAATTAAACTCCACACCCACTTAAAAAAAAATTTTAACTGCAGATGCCTCTCCATAATGTGACTCTGTATACCAAATAAGAGTCTTGTATCTTGTTGTGGAGCTTAGTTATGGCAATTTATTTGTTTTTGATGAATGGCGTTTTGTGGGCGTGGCAGTGGTCCGATTATGCTTAGCTGCAATACCAACCGTCTTACGGTACCAAGAAATATGTGTACCAAGTTTCAAAAATATATCTCAATTTTTACTCAAGTTACAGCTTGCACAGACGGACGGACGGTCAGACAGTCACCCGGATTTCAACTCGTCTCTTCATCCTGATCATTTATATATACATAACCCTATATCTAACTCGATTAGTTTTAGGTGATACAAACAACCGTTAGATGAACAAAACTATTATATTTTTATGTATTAAAATGTTGTTGGTCCGCGCGATATATATCAATTTAATGATTTACAATTTAGTTTTTCTTAATCGACGGTCTTTTTAATGGTTCGTACATATTATATATACACGTTCGGAACTATATAAAAGAGTAGAAAGGAGGACAATTGTATCTTTCTTGTACACTGCGATAGTGTGATTTTACATTGGAACTCTTTTGACCCTCATTTTTGGCAAATTCTCTTTTGGTGTCGCTCTGGGCATTCACACGAGCAAAAAGAGTCCAGCAACTCGAATCGAGTTTTCAGTCATTCCTTTTCTTAAATTTTCGAAAATATTTGTGCGGTTCGACTGCGCAACACTTAGTGCGTGTTGCATATTTCATTTGTATGTTGGCATGATGGTCTCACATTTTGCTAGCAATGAATTACCATGAATATGGTAGAACAATATGCAGAATACCTAAACGCTTAATAGTTTCAAAGAAATACTTAAGTCGGGAATTCCCTAATCCACTAGAATGTATTGAATACCCGCTACTAATATTTTCAAGGCAAATTTAAAACAGGAATTTCCTTATCTTCAAGTATTAAAATCCCATAATTTTATTTGAACTAAACTCTTTGCGGTTATGTGGTATTTCTCCTTATTTACAATTTTCCAAAATATTTCTATTATTCTATGCATATTAAATTTCTGAACGAATGGTATAGATTCATTTCATTTGAAACCGAGCGCTCTTGCAACCATTCAAAGAATTTGAAAGTGAAAAGGGTAGCAGCGAGCTGTTACGAACAAGAACACAAAGCGTGCCACCCGAACACGAGTGGCACGGTCCCTTCGTCTTTTCTCGTCGTCCCCTCGGTTTGGATTACAAAAGAGTCTGTGTGTAAAAGCACACATATTAAATTCGCTATTCGGTTAAGTGCCGAAACCATTGAATAAATAGTAGGCTTATACTATGGCCGAAACTTTTCCCGACAGGGTAGTCATACAAATTGTTTGTGAAAATATTTCAATTTGACGTGTCGAAGCAATTTTTATTGATTAATTAAATCGAGTTGATTTATGAACGTCTCACGCAATAACTGTAAAATCAGCATCAGATATTTCAAATAGGGCTTGATTAAAACTGAATACCAAGGAAATAAGCAAGTCGAATGGATGCTAGATATATTTTTGAAAGCACAAATGTGTTATAGCTTGTGGTACATGCAATTTAGACATTATGTTATTGGCATATGGGAGGTTAATAGTTAAAATACAAAACTACTGTAAATATTTCAAAAGCATATGTATGTATATGATTTTAAACTTACATAAAATACAACTCTGCAGATGAAATGGTTTTGTTATGATGATGCATAACACTCGCGTTTGCGATCGTACTGACATTATGTAATGCGTTGTTGTTTACTACAGATGGCACTCCTGTTGAAATTTCGATTATGGGTTCTGATGCAGGTATTGTGCCAGATGCGACGCAGGTTTCATTCCATGCATCGTCGCATACTGTCCACGGTAACGGGGATTTGAATGAATCAAACAAATAGCGCACAATCATGCCCATAATCGCCACGTAGTAGGTGGTCACAAACGAAATGGACAATACTTGACCAATACCAATACCTTTGAATTGTAGCATTCACAAATAAGAGAATGACATGGTAAGACAAAATACTTACAATACATAACATAAAATTACATATGTATAGAATTTATGAAAAACATTATGAACGAATGCATTAAGATAGTATAAATGAAAGAAGTCCATGCCTCGACATTAGTATACTCATACATAGTTGTAAATTGATTCCATAAATGAAGATAGTTGTTTCGACTTCTAAACAATGAACTTCTGGTATACAAGTAAGTACAAAAATATCATTCCCTATGTTAATATAATGGTGTTTACTGTTTATATTATACGAACACAGCACCATATTCCAAACTTAATTAGAATTGGTGGAAAGTTACAGGAATTCTTTTATAGTTTCATCGTGATACGATATGATACTTATATCTATTCATTTCATATTAATACTTTCAGTTTATTCCAATTATGACCCAGTAACAACCAGCTTTTTTACTACCCAACTCGGCTGGCTTTAGATTTATGTACATACTTACATATGTATCTATAGAGTTCTTCTGTGGTCAATGCTATGCAGAAGTAGCTTTAAACTCAACTACCATAACTGGTAGATATTATACTTGTAGGGGGATTTCAACGCGTTCCATATTAACTATGGCATTTCTTTTAGCGTCATAAATTGTCACTTAAGACACTGAGTGATTCGTTTACATATCTTTTGAGGCTAAGTGAGGAAGACTTGGTAGAACAAAGGGCGGTAAAGGTGACGAAAGTTTAAAAAATTTGCTGTGTAATTAAAACCTCCACTTGAAATATCACAGAGGCCGCTAGGTAGTGCTGCTGTAATATATTTATTTCCTGAACACGGTATACACCTAATTCTGTTTTTATGTGGTTTAAATATGGCTAAACATTTTGCGCGATTCGCCTCCGCATCCTACATAACATCCTGGGTAACGCCAAATGACCTGCGTCCTTCACGGCCTTGTAGAACTCCTATGGACCATTGACCCCTGATCGACTCGGATTATGAATAGGATGACGCATTTAGATTTGGTTGAAACCTGGGCTAATAGCCGAGGTATTCTGCCACCTTAGTATGTAGAGGTGACACTAAACAGAAATGGCTGGTGACTTAATGTCAATGCTGCCTCCGTCCCGTAAAAACTGGCAGAGCTCAGAGTACGTTCACATCCCGTTATCATTAGGTTGGTGTAGTAAATGCCTCATTACTGACACAACTTTGGGACCATGAAAGGGGATTACCTTTCAGAGAAGTGGATAGCGGCTCTTAGTGGGGACTTACGGATCATGCATGGAAAATAAAGCAGGAAAAATTAATAAGGACGGGGATGAAAATAGGATGGAGTGGAGGCGGGTAGCGGCGGCTATATATGTATGTAGTCTTCATGAAGCTCGTCAAGGGAAATCACGGGCCACATTACAGGTCCGAAAGTGCCGGATATTTGCCGGAGAGGTGTGAGGTCGAATCGAACCTCACGCATCTCATATATTATCTTCTCTGCGACAGAACTGTCGTGGCGGATTGGAGCAGTGCGCATGCACTATGAAGGATCAAGGATTTTTATTCTGAATTTTAGTAATTAATGACCTATTGAAAGAACTTAATGGACGAGGCGGGTCGGGGATAGCCTATGCAGATTATGTTTCTATCATGGTTAAAGCGAAATTTCTAGGTACCGTTTGCGAGCTAATACAAGGGTACCTTTATGTGGTAGCTAGCTGATAGATACTCGTAGATAGAAAGCTATCATGGAAACCCAATGGTGAGGAGAGGGATAGTAAGGCATTCATTGCCTTCTATTGTTGTGATGGAGCTACTGGGAAGCGGTGGGGACTCTCACCATAGTCAGGCCAATACTGTTCTAAGGTGTATATGTCTGGTGTAGGGCTGGTCGGTAAATCTACACTCCCTAATTAGCTGTGTTCAACGAGGACACAACTTAACAAAGTTGCAGGGAGGAAGATGAGAAAAGATTGAATCACCTTGGTTACCCTACTTTCTACGAACACGGTGAATTGGTTGATGCTAGCTAGCTCAATAAATTTGTGGCTGGCTCTAGGTGCTTTGTAGATAATCGACGGTCTTTCTGATTCGTACTTAGGACAAGCGTTTCTAGCAGTCCAAGTGGGATTATTCGTGGTCTCACGAATAGCAGCCTATTTACCTAACCTAGGGTAATGATCAATGTAAAAACAATTACGTGTATTTAGTTAGAATAAATCGAACCGGACTACTATAGCATACAGCTGCCATACAAACTGACCGATCAAAATCAAGTTCTTGCATTGAAATTTATTTATTTGCGAAGGTGCAACCGAAGTAAAAGTATTTTATTGCTTTAAGATCCATATGTACGGTGCTGTGTTATTAGATAAAGCATATGAAGTTGTCCTGACTTTCTATTTTCAGGATGATAAATGTTTCGTAAAAACAATGAACTTCTCCGAGAAAATGTGCTACATACAATCAATTAACTGTTATACAACATTTTCCAGCAATTCTGTATGCTGCATTTTGAATTAAAGTTATAACAACTATAATTATTTATGTTAACTGGTTTCTTAATATTTCGTAAGATAAATGAGTATAGTAAACTATGTACGCAGGCATGTACTTCAGCTAAAATTCGTAAGATACAGAAACATATGAATATAATTGCTACTAACAGGTGTATTTTATTTTTCCTTACCCTTCATGGCTGGACACAAGTTGAATACTTTTACTGATCCACTACTCGAGAACTGTCCTATCGCCATTTCTAAATAATAAATCGGCTTACCGATTAAAAATAATACTATAAGATAAGGTATCAAGAAAGCTCCACCGCCGTTATCCAGCGCCGTAAAAGGAAAGCGCCATACATTGCCCAGGCCCACAGACATGGCAATACACGAGAAAAGAAACTCTACACCTTTGCCCCACGTGGCGCGTTCATTCTCCTTAGAATCTTTTTCAGACAGCTTCTATTTGGACAATAACAAAAATGATTTGAGTTTTATTTTACAACCAAAAATCCTCAGTACTTACCGCCTCTTCGTCCGAATTTCGCAAGGCTCTCGATCGTCCGTTTACAGATTTTCCGTCATCTCCAATAAAGGCTGGATTTTCATGAGGCATATCCATCGTGTATGTCAACAAAATATTCTTAAAATAAAAAATAAATGTATGAATTCTTTTAAATTTCCAAAAAATAAATTATTATTTTTTTGTTCAAACTAGTAAAGGTACTACATATGAGTTCCAAACGATTTCTAAGGGTCTTTATGTGCAGTGCATTCAAAAGAAAACGTTTTCATTTTGCTGTGTCGGTATCGTTTATTGGGAAAAATTGTATACTACATTGTTCTGTTATTGCTGACGTTTATTCAATACTTGCTCCAATCTCCTGCGTTGTCTGTTATAGCCTAACGTCTTCGATGGCAACTTCCAACTAAATTTACCGCATATTCCAAAGGAAGCGCCTGGCGTCTGGTGACTGCGATGGTCAATCTAAAGTAACAATATGTTTTTCTTGTTTCCATTGAGTACAGAGTCTGCTCCTATGTTTTGGATCACTGTCTTCGTGCAGTATCCAATCATGGTTATTTTTGCCGTGAAAATTTTCAGCTGACATCAGTAAACCCATTTAATACAATTTGACCATTCATTGATTACTGTATTTCTTATTCCTTTTTAAACTAATTTTTAGCTTCTCTTAGACTGAGAAATGGTTTCTTTACAAAAAGGAGAAGAATTGCTTACTTTTAAATGTCACGTGATTCCTCTCTCTTCCTGGCTTGTCAACAAAGTTTCCAGTTTCTCAATAATGGTAATTTTATCACACGACTTGACACATTAAGCAGATCGAAAAAACTGACTAAATTGTACGCGTCATTGATTACAATTAAACAAGAGTTAATTTACAAATGAAAAAAACTCAGTTTTCCGAAATTGATGGCGGAAAGGAAAAACGTTATTTTTTCAAAACATTGTATTTGTAGATATTTATTGTTGTTTAAATAATTTATATATAATTATCAAATTTTTATTCCAACCTTTGACACAAACAGCTTATGTACATTGGCATAAATTTAACCAGTCTGAATGTAATATTATAAATGTTAATAACTATTTATAAACTCCAAATCTAAAATCCCACATCTATTGTACTCGACAATATTATCAATCTGTGGTATACAATTTTTTTATGTTAAGATGTTTTTCTGCTCACATGAGGTCAGGTCATAAATAATACAGGTTTATTACCTTTTAAGGGGAATTTTCTTTCATCCAGTTTATGATTCATCGCTTTTGTCGAGAAGCAAAAAATTTCTTCAACATACTAATAATTTTCTCATTAAATGTTAAACAATGAATGCCACTTATATTATTCAATATGATTTTTACAAATATTGCATTGAGAGCGCATTAACTTGCACATTATGTTACGTTATTTTAATTGCAATTGAGTTTTCGAATTTCGGTATAAAAAGACTGCGAGGGACAAGAATATTAGAACTGTGTGCTGATAAAGTATATTAAGAGAGATCATGAGCATATGATAAATTGATTTTCTATTACTTAATAATTAATAAATTATATTAATAATTTTCATAGCATTTGTTTTGGTCCAATTTTTTTTAACAATAGCCGATTTAAATGAACGTAGGTAATGTTAAGAGTAATACAGATTATTGGCCCTATCATAGTTTGCAACTCAACTACATTTCAGTTGAAATTTTGCAGTTCAGTATTATCGATAACAAACCAACCTGCCAAAAAGGTAAGTGGAGTTAAAATTGTCTTTAACGTCTGGTGTATTACCGTTCACAACCCTGCACTAACATCTTGATTGTGAGTTGATTCAATTTCGATTAATTTTTAACATTCCTTGCATACTTTTTGTATTGTAACTCGAACATAAATATATATTATATGTGTATGTAGATAATACATTTTCCATATATTTGCTGGAACTACGTAAATATGCAATAATTTTTGAAGTGTGATGCTAAATCTAGTCAATTTTCGGTTCAACTAAGACTAAACGATTAAGCAGAAATAAAAACTCGCCTATCTTAAAAATTATAATATCTCAGATGAATGGGCATTTTTGGTTCCTTAAGCATATCTACAAGCATACTAAGATAAAACTGTGAATATAAAGTATTTATTTGTGTTGGAAACATCCGGTTTTTGAATTCAATTAATTCGTGTCAAAGAACGATTACCGGCTAATATTGCTTCTAAATGAGATACAGAACACGTGTACGAGTATGACCCACTACATAAAAAATCGTTGTAATCATGTATAATAAGTAAGGAAGGACTAATTTCGGGTGTAACCGAACATTTTATACTCTTGCAACTTGCAAGGCTCAAAGCCGGGCAAATACCTTCAAGTGTTGGCAAAACTTTATATTAAAAACTGCTGAATTAAAAGGAATTCAACATTCATTATTCGACGAAATCGTGAATGGACTACAATCAAATTAAATTTGGTATTTTATTTAGTTAAATTATTGATATTGATTATTGGCAGATAGAAGTAGTATTGAGCCGATATTATCTATTTTTGGCATTACTTTGAAATATATTAGTAACAGCATAAAATGCTCCCTGAGTTTCATTAAGGTATCTTACGCACCGTCCCCAATATACAAGGAAAGAAGTCGAACGGATGTTTGAAAATCATTGTATTAGTTGTATGCGGGCTAGGCCAAGTTTTCATCCGATCTGAAGGCTTGAATATTTTTATTCTGATTTGAACAATTTTGGGTCATAAGATGGCACACCTTTAATTCATGTAAAGTTTCATCAGTATACATCGATTAGTTCTCGATTTGTATACTGGAAAGTAAAAGAATCAGATAGAATTTAAAATTGTTTTATATGAAAAGTAGGCGTGCTTTTCGACTGATTTCCATTCGTCCATTTCCACACTGTAATATAGGGATGTCAGGGTGATGTCACTTACCGAATTTGGTTGAAATTTATTCAGTAGGTCTAGAGATAGTATGTGATTTCACCTAAAGGTGGGCGGTGTCACGCCCATCGTCTAATTTGGACACCGATTGCTGTAAAGACCCCTATTGCACTTTTAGTTTTCACACTGTCGTAAGAGGTGTCAAAAGAGTTTGTTCTGTGATGGTGATATAGCTTGAATGCTTTGGGAGATATATACATTAAGCTATTTAGGGGGCTTCTTATAGTGCCAATGAACATGTGTACCAAGTTTCGTCAAGTTATCTAAGTTTTTACTTAAGTTACAGCTTGCACGAATGGACGGACAGACAGACAGTCACCTGGATTTCACTTCGTCTTGTCATCATATGTATGTACAACTCTAAATTTAACTTGATTAGTTTTAGGTTATACGTAAGACTTCAACATTCATAATTTGACGAAACCTTGAATAAATTACAATATAATTTGTATTTTCTTAATTTATATATACAGTATAAGTCGTAGACTCGCTTTGTGTCATTACTTAATTTTGCTTTGGTGTTCAAAATATATTTTTTATTAATTAATAAAATTATATATAAATAAAATATATTTTTTATTAATAATTAAAATTAATTAATAAAATCAATAAACTCAAAGATATATGTGATATTAACTCATTCAAAGAGACTAAGTTTAATATATTGGGTTTATGAGGAAAAAGTGAACTAAATAATCGGAAGACATTATAATAGGGATATGAGGTTAAGCCTAAGGTCAAGACCAATTCGATTCATAATCGATTCATACTTAATTAATTTCTTTAAGATATCTCAGATATTGGGCGGTATATACTGTATAAACTTTACCGGACGTTTGAAAATCTCTATTATGACAGCTAAAGGAAGTAATAAACCGATTTCATTCATTTTTGATACAAAAATAGAGTATTATCAGAAAAGAGAATCGACTTCCCGAATTTTAATAATCTCAGACACTAACCGATATTTTCGGTACAAAATAAACCAGAGGCACTGAAATTCACATTTTCAAAATCTGGGGCCTTGTGGTCCTATTCTACTATATTTCGACCTGAGATGGCATATCTTAAAGCCTCTATTTGTACAAAGTTTTATTCCTATCCGGGCCACGCCTACTTTTTCAGAATTTTTAACTCTAATGAGATTCGTAGTACCAAATAAAAAACGTGTAACTAGTTGGGGGGTTTAGTTATGGCACTTTATAAGTTTTCCATAACAATACAAACAACAACAAAACTAAAAGTATTTTACTCTGTAGCAACACTTTGCAAGAGTTTCCTATTTTTGTTATATCTTTTTCTAATCATTTTAATTCCAGCTTTTGTCTTCACTACTGATTTAGCACATTTTCATCAATTAAAATATTTTTATTTTGTTAATAATGGTTTCTAGCACGATTTTTTTTTTTATTATTATAGATACTCTACTACACAAAAAGTTACAATCTAAAGAAATAAAGACCTCCTTAACATGTTTATAAGAGTTAAAGTGCAGCTTAACTATGCATATTTAATAGAAATGATATTGAAAATATCTAAGAAATGCTCCTCCGTAATGCAATGAGGGACCACCTTGTGTCTCTATTGCGTTCATACTTAGATACGCAACCATTCCTCATATTTTCACGAATTACTGCACGAATTGCAATGAAGTTTCAAAAGAAATATTCCACGATATACAAAGATGTATATCCAAATATAGCACACCAAGTACATCTGTATATAACCATTTATTATTTTGAGACCTAACTGTTGAGAAATCTCATTTTTTTGGCCTCTTAAAAGTGAAGTAAAGAGGGATTTCTACTTTTTAAATTAAATTTTACGAAAACAACTTAAATGCGAATATTTGAAGTCGAATTAGTATTGAGGAACATTTATACTACAGTTTATCTCAGTAGATAGTTTTATTAGCCATGTCATTAACCATTGTTAGACTGATTGCACATTTCAAAAATTATTGTCGAGATAAAAACATTTATAAACAAGTACATGCATAATTACTATGCTTATTTACCATGTGAATGTGTACTTAAAGTTTCAGTGGCGTACACGGTAGATACATGTCAAGGAGGTACTAGGTACCGTTCTGCAATTTTTCTGTATTTTGGTTTAAAATATCCAATTAACATAATGGCTTTTGTGACCAATTGATATCTTTTTGGAACTTATTTGTATTTTTATTTGCTTCTTTATCCATTATTTGGAACTAAATCGCTAAGATATGCATGACTGTGATTCACCTTATAGCCTCCTGTTGTACCGAGTTACTCGAAAGAGTACAGAAATAATGGTAGCTCTCTATATTTATAAAGTACTTTTGTCTGAAGTTGCACAAAATTGGATATTCAGCTGGTTAAATAGAGTGTGAGTGTAGACGGGAGATATGTTCAAAGTATCCACTCTACTGCCATAAGAGACTATAAAGAATGTTCACAAGTGCATAAATAAGTGTTTGTATATGTGTAAGTATTTGCTTTTAAAACTCGAACTGTTTCTGCTACAAACCACCAGCTAATAATTGGCTGGAGAAAAAGGCTTGGGCCGAAAAATGTAGTGTAACTTTTGGTTAGGTAGAAACCGTACCGTACGAAATTTAAGAAACACTACTTGATGGAGATGTGACATAACACTTATCTAGCTGTTGTTTTTCAACCACGGAGATTTCTATTCAAGAATAATAATTACAGTTACTCTGCGATCAATAACTTTAAAGTTATGCCGAAATGTCATGTAACTTGGAGAGGAACGTTAGTGCTCTAAGCCAAGAATAGAGATTTTTTATTGCGATCGCTTGACCAGAATAGGAAATTCAAAGCCTTTCCATTTAGTAATATGTACTTATGCGCAACATAAGCAATGTTAATGGATATATATGGTTGAAGGATTTAATATTTCTTTTACATATTATTATATAGGTATAAAGGCTAAATTTAAAAGCTCCTCGCCCTCACGCCTTTACAAATGGTCGCCTTGACCGCTTCTTGAAAACCTGAAATATAATTGAAACAAGTAAGGACGGGCTAATTTCGGATGTAACCGAACATTTTATACTCTCGCAAAGTCAAATGGTATACTCGTTTGAGATTTCTTTGTGGATTGACTGATATTTTCGGTAGAAGGTCAACTATAGGCAATGGGGTCCATATATTTAGTACTTAGGGGTTTGAACAGTTTTGGTTCGATTTAGACAATTTTTGGCCGCAAGGTGGCATACTTTAATTGCATTATTCACGCAAAGTTTTACCCCGATATAATCATTCTTACCTGATTTGCATAGTGGAAAGTGAAAGAATCAGATGGAATTGAAAATGGTGTTACATGGGAAGTAAGCGTGGTTGTAGTCCGATTTCGCCCATTTTCGCACTATGACATAGAAACATGAAAAAAACGTTATGCACCGAATTTGGTTGAAATCGGTTTGAGCAGATCTCAAGATATGGGTTTTCACCTAAAAGTGGGCTGTGCCACGCCCACTGACTAATTTTGAACGCGGTTCCTATAAAGCCAATTTATACCATCTCAGAGATAAAATTTAATGTCTCTGACGTGTTTAGTGCTTGATTTATCGCGCTTTTAGTAGTTTTTAACAGTACCGTTATATGGGGAGCGGGCGGAGTTGCCACCCGATTTCAACTATTTTCACACCGTCAATAGAAGTGCTAAAAACATTTGCTTCTAGTGAATTTTGTTATTATAGCTTTAGCGGTTTAGGAGATATGCACATTAAACCTATTAGAGGCAAGTTTTAACTGCAGATGCCCCTCCCTAATGTAATCCTGTGTACCAAATAACAGTCTTGTATCTTATTGCGGAGCTTAGATATGGCAAGTTATTTGTTTTTGATCAATGGCGTTTTGTGGGCGTGGCAGTGGTCCGATTCCCTTCTGCAATACAAACCGTCTCACGGTACCAAGAAACATGTCTACCAAGTTTCATAAAGATATCTCAATTTTTACTCAAGTTAGAGCTTGCACGGACGGACGGACGGACAGACGGACGGACGGACGGACGGACAGACAGTCACCCGGATTTCAACTCGTGTCTTCATCCTGATCATTTATATATATATAACCCTATATCTAACTCGATTAGTTTTAGGTGATACAAACAACCGTTAGGTGAACAAAACTATTATACTCTGTAGCAACAGGTTGCGAGAGTATAAAAAGTACGATACTAGAGGGAAAACAGCAATTGCTTCGCGCACAAATTAACTGCACATATGTATGTTTGTGCGTTAGCATAGTGAAATATAAAAATATCATCAACTGAAGAAATTTTGTTTCAACACATATCGCTTCTGCCATTGCCGCTTCGTTATTGTAGTAAATACGAGCGCGAGTCATATGCGGCGTTGGGCCCTAGTTTTCTTACGCTGACACAGGGAATACCCGTTCAGCAACGTATTATGCAGCCACTTCTTACGTGCAACCGCTAGCCAACAAAAATATCCACTCTTGAACAGATGAACAAAGTAACAACAACCACTTATGGGTACACCAATTGCGTATACGTCATACTTAGCTAGCCACTAGGTTTCGGGACTGTTGAGCAGTCATAGCCAGTTTTGCCTTACACTTACTCTCTAATATATGGAGATGCATACATTATACATATGCACAGTATACATCACATTGTTTTCATATTGTTTTACTATGAATGAAAAAAGGAAAAAGTATTTCGATTTTTTGTAACTGTAAAAAAAAGTAAAAAATCAAACATTATTAACAATTATTATTAAAAAAACAAGAAAAAACGTTAACTTCGGTTGCATCGAAGCTGTAATACCCTTCACATATACATAAGATTCCATATAATAAATTGATTTTGATCGTTCAGTTTGTATGTTAGCTATAGCTGTAGTGGACTGATCCAAGGGACTAGTTCGCGTGTATACGACAGACGGACAGACATTCGGGCATAGCTAAATTGACTCAGCTCGTTATGCTTGATCATTTATGTACACATACATATATACATATGTACGTATATTCAAAAGATTCTCTAACGCCTCCGTCTGGGTGTTACCAACTTCGTGACAAATTTAATATACCCTGTTAGTGAATTATCATTACTGTCATATACATAGTAAAATGAGCACGTGAGCTGTTATTGAATATATAAAAGTTGGCATATATTTAAAACATACATATAGAGCCATGATTAATGACTTTTTCGTACCTGAGTTGGACAATATTTATGTGGACGACCTTTGGTTCCAACAAGACGGCGCTACATGCGATACAGCCAACAAAACTATCAATTTATTGAAGGAAAATCATGGTCTCCAAGATCGCGCGATTTAAAACCGCTGGACTATTTTTTATGGGGTTATGTGAAAATGCTTGTCTACGCAGATAAACCGGAGAGACGATTGACGCCTTGAAAGAGAATATTCTTAATTGCTGCTAAAAGTTATCGAAAATCCGGACTGGAATTTATGCGAGCTAGCCGCGGCAGTCACTTGGTCGAACTCATTTTTAAAATAGAATGGCCAAATCTTATCTTCATAATAAAGCTCAATTTGTGAACATAATATTAAATTATATGCGTTTTGTTTTTTCTTGAAAACCCCATGTCTAAAACAAAACACCCTTTACATATATTTATACCAATAGGCATATACATGTTACATATGAATACTTATACTTCATATTAAATACATACATATGTATAGGTATATACTTTAAGCACATAAATACAATACATAAATTCTAACTCTTTTGTGGGAAAACTAAAATGGTTTAGCCTTGGCAAAAGCCGGAATAACTATTGACATATTCATGTATGTATGTGTACGCTTAGCCAATTCAAGTACACAAGTTGCAACAACGCACTAAGTCAGTGTAATTCATAGCGTAAGTGTTTAATTAATGCGGATTATTAGCCAAGAACCTGAAACTATTTGTTGCTATTGGTGCTTATTAAGGTATAAAACTTAAATTGCTAATAATATTCTCATAATAAATCGCGCATTGTCGACTCACCTTCTATCGCTGTGTTGTTGTGAATATGTTTTGTTGCTTCACGGTTAACCTCAGCACCTCAACTCACAACTGACTTTTTATTCTTTTTCTGCCGGTGGTATTATTGGTGTTGGCTTAGGTAAACCATACGCAAAGCCAAAGGAAATATTAAACAAAAACACAGTTATTGTAGAACTGGTTGAAACCGCTTCAAACTGAAACACACAATTAAATTTTAATACATAATAAGTATGTGATAAACTTTGTGCTCAGGCGGACGTAAGTATGTGTTTTGATTTAAACACGAAATAACTTTTGTAGCTTTAAGTTTTGGATTTTCTCGAATCAGCCTTTCTTTATAGTTTTGTCGTATAGCTTAATATATGTATGTATATCAATAACTTAATTCAGAATTGAAAAATTAACAACGGCACCAGAAAAATACGACATTTTTTTTTTTTTATCTTAATATTTGCACAATGTTTAATGAATATTACTACCTCGGAGTTTTAATGTTTGCGCGTTTGCTTTCGTTGTATAATTTACCACTCCACTACTCGTTACCACAGACTGACAGGCCCGGCTGCCAAAACCAACTGAGCACAGATTTTTCTCACACATCATTTTTATAGCCACCAATTTGCGCCTCCGCTCATTTGAGGAGTCGATCAGTGTTTACTAGCTCAAACAGTCACAGCGCAAACAGTCACCGACATTCCTCCCTTCCTTACTTACCGCCCGTATCAAACCCAATTTGTTTAAAGTTATGCCCGTAGTTGCAACGCAGAAATCAGTTGTTCTCTTTTGTTTTCATTTCACCAATATTGCTATTGTTCTATTTGCATACACGATTTTTTACACATTTAGTTTTTTAGCTCAAAAAAGCTCAAAACTAAAATCTAACTTTTAAAAATAGTTTGCCTACTTATAAATAAGTATATTCGACTGTGATTTTGAGTTATTTTAAGAATATTTCAAATATATTCAAGTTTATTTTTTAATAACCACAAAATATCGAGATTGGCAACCCTGCGTTGCAAGAGATTGCTCTCTCACTCTCAGCTCACTCGTTTCTACGGAAAAATCCAATTTTCGTGGATATTCTACGGTCTGTTGAAGCGGACGGTAGAAGCGGTGGTGACCGATCATTTACATTGCGCTCTCATAAGATTGGTCATATCAGCTGATTCGGTACACGGTTTTGCGTCGATGACTGTGCCTTAAGAGAATCTGCGGGCGCCTGGGTCGGTATAGCACTTGCCATTTATATCTTTTACTGAGAGCGTTTATAAAGCGCCATGAATGAAGGGAATGGAATACTTTATATATAGAGTCGTTAGAGAAGTGTGTGCTTTTAAACTTCCGCTTGAAAGCTCTGTATTAACTGTTATATTCCGAAAGCTCGTCAAATTAAGTTTGAAGTCTACTGTGGTAAAAAGTGCTACCAGATTAAGGAAGGTATACCATTTTAACAAAAAAAACATTTCACTACTATTAACGTAATAATGTTTACTTATAAGATGTAATATTCTTAGAGAACTATTGTTATATTCTTTTATGAAAATTTTTAATAAAATGGTCATATTATTATTGAATTTTCAAAGATTTTAATTTAGTGGTCATTAGTCATTTTTCATAGTGAATCTACTAGTAGGTATTATAAAAATAGTACTCTAAGCACTGCATTGACCTAAGAATTTCGCACACTTCGGCTTATACTTCTGCAAAGAAAATGAACACACAAAAATGCATATATGGATATTTTACGAATGTTTCTAACTGAATAATTTACCCTTGTCGTAAATTTATACTAACTATCAATATAATATTTTTGGAGATTATCTTAAGTTGACAATATTATTCAACCTGAAAAACACAAATATTTAGAAAATCATAGATCAATACGAGCGTACATATAATTCATTTATACTAAACACAACTATTTTAAATTAAATTAATGAGCGTAATTTGTTTCTATTTTCTTATATATCATTTTAAAAAATTGTCCAATGTTGCTAAATAATCTGATTCCCAAAAATATAAACTCAAGGGTTTTATCTGAGTTTTCAAGTACACTAACTTCAGTAGCCTTTCACAAAGTAAAATACTGTTATAGTATTCAAAGTAAGTATACCGTAGTAGCAAGTAAACGGTATAGTCCGGAGGCTACTGACGCCAGTCGCCATTAAAAATTTAGTTGCTTATATCAAAAAGTGGCATAACGAGTGTTATCTGAATTCTGAGCCTGATAATTAAACAAGTTACTAAAATTAGAATTGGAATCCGCATTTAGCCAGCGACTTTTTTCTGTCTTTTTATCTCAAAAGAATGTTCGCAAGAAGTATTCGCCGAAGCTGAGACCTATTTTGCAAAAGGCAAATCATATTATAAATATCGAGTTGAATAGTTGGAAGTTGAATAATGAAACTGAAATTTGTCGAAAAAAAATTTCTTTTAAACAATACGATTTATGTGGTAGTAATTTTGCTCTGTACGAGAAATTAAAGTATGTACTTGAAGCTAAAGGGAATTACTAATTACCCTGCAAAAACCAATACCACATTAAGTACTAGGACAGGACCACGCTACGATGTAACCAACACTAGTAACCGTAGTGAAATATATAAATATAAAAATATACGAATATGTGGAGTTAAGTCAGTCGGAAATTTCAAAATCATGAATATCCGTTGCATGGGAAGCTTTTTTTTAAGTTATGGTCCGATTTTGACTATTATTGGATGTACTTGTAAGATGAAATATATTGAGGGCACTACTTGAGCAAAGTTTTAACCCGATACATTAATTCTTGATTTGTATATTGGAAAGTGAAAGAAAAAGATGAAATTTAAAATTGCAAAGGCGTGCTTTTTTTCTGGTTTCGCCTATATTTACATTGTGATGTAGGAATATTAGGGTAATATTACATACCAAGCTTGGTTAAAATCGGTGTAGTAAGTCAAGAGATATGGATTTTCTCTTACATGTGGGCGGCGCCACGCCCATCGTTTAAATTTGACACCGTCTCCTATAAAGCCTTCTCGTACCATATCGGATGTAAGATTGTATCTCTGGAGCATTTAGTTATTGATTTATCTCGCTTTTACTAGTTTTTAACAAAACCGTTATGTAAAAAGAGGGCGGGGTTATAATCCGATTTTATCCATGTTCACACTGTGGGTAAAGGTCCTTAATAGATTTGTCCTAAGCGAATTTAGATGATATAGCTTGAATTGCTGGGAGATATGTTTATTAAACTTATTAGAGGCCGGGGCTACGCCTACTTTAAAAAATTGCTTAGCCCTCAAGTGCCCCTTCCTACTGCAATCCCCTGTACCAAATTAAAGTTTTTTTTAACTTAATTTGGTGCTTAGTTGTGACATTTTATATGTTTTTGATTAAGGGTGTGGCAGTATTTCGATTGCGCTAATTTTCAAGCTCGTCCTCACTTTTTCGCCAGAGAACACGTGTACCAAGTTTCATTATGACTTCTAAATTTTTACTCAAGTTACAGTTTGCAGGGACAGACGCACAGACAGACATCCGGATTTCAATTCGTCTCGTCATCGTGAATAAATTACAATCAAATTTGGTATCTTCTTGACTTATATTGAAGGCCATCAATATATACATACAAGTATATACTTGTATATATATATTATATAATATATAATGTGAAAAACGTCAACCAGAGGATCGGAGTTCATTATATTATTGATATGAGGTTTAGACCAAGGTATAGATCAATTCCATTCTAATTAAGTACTAAACCAAATAATTTTTAAGAAAACTTGACCTTTCTCATGTATGCTTGAGAACATATTTTCAAGCAATTTTTTAAATACAATACATATATAACTCACATACTGAACGACTTATTAGGCATCAAACTTGTTGGACAAAAGGAAATCATTGCATACGAGTACTATCCCCAATCTATATGAAGTAAAGTCAAAAGGATGTTCGAAAATTCTAATATTAGTTATATATGGCTGATCAAGTTTTCATCCGATTTTATCTATTTTAGGCACAAAGATGCACTGTTAATAGAATAACACGCTCTCTCATTATACTCTTGGTACCTATTGCCACAGAGTATAATAGTTTTGTTAACCTAACGGTTGTTTGTATCACCTAAAAGAGTTAGATTAGAGAGTTAGATATAAGATTATATATATATATAAATGATAAGGATGAATAGACGAGTTGAAATCCGGGTGACTGTCTGTCCGTCCGTCCGTCCATCTGTACACGCTGTAACTTGAGACGTAGACCGTGTAAGACGGTTGGTAGTGCAGACGGGCGTAATCGGACCACTGCCACGCCCACAAAACGATATTAATCAAAAACAAATAAATTGTCATAACTAAGATCCACAATAAGATACAAGACCATTATTTGGTATACAGGATCACATTAGGAAGGGGCATCTGCAGTTTAAAAATTGTTAAAAAAGTGGGCGTGGTCCCGCCCCTAGTAGGTTTACTGTGGATATCTCCTAAACCACTAAAGATTTCAAACTTAAACAGTGGGCGTGGCAGTCAAGCAACAATGATTATATCGGCGTAAAACTTTGCGTGAATAATGGGTTTAAGTATCTTCCATCTTATGACCAAAAATTGTCTAAATCGAACCAAAACTGTTCAAGCCCCTAGGTACTGAATATGTGGACCCCATATAGTTAGTTGCACTTTTTCCGAAAATATCGGTCAACGTGTAAGATATATAATAAAATAAATAAATGGAACTCTCGATAATAGTATGTTTTTGTGTCAAAAATGATTTATATCGAATCAAAACATCCTATAACCCTCATATACCTATTATAAATAGTTTTGAACTTCCGGGTGACTGTATACCGCATATATCAGCCAATATGTGAGTTATCTCATTGAAAATGGGAAGGCGTGTTTTGCTCATAACAGGGCATCCTTGTGCCCAAAATGGATTAAATCGGGTGAAAATTTTACCTAGCCCCCATGTAACTAATAACAGGATTTTCGAACATTCGTCAGACTTTACTCCATATGATTGGTGATGGTATGTGAGGTACCTTAATGAAACAGTGGGAGCATTTTATTAGTCTGTGGCATGTTAGTAGTATGTAGTATTGGCAAAAATTGATAAAATCGGGTTAATGCTACCCTCTATTTCCATATACTACTTATAATACATCTCGTATGTCGGTCAGTGAGTATTAAAATTTATTTTATATATAAAATTGCTTCAAAATATGTTCTCTATGCTCGAGTATAGCTGAGCAATGTAAAAATTAATATATTTCTCTATCCCCAATATATATATGATTTCCGTCTTTCCTCTTGACTTTAAACCGTTCCGATTGATCAAAATGTGATATTTTAATGAAATTAAGTGGATAAGTTTTCTTGAAAACTATGTGGTTTAACGCTGAATTAGATTGAAATTAGTATATACCTTGGTCTAAACCTCATACCTTCATATAATGAACTCCGATTCTCTGGTTGACGTTTTCCACACAAGCCTATAATATAAAATTTAGCCACTTCGGTCGAGTTAATATCACATTCATACCTATGTACATCTCACTTCAAGATGTTTTTTGTTTTAATACAATTTTCGCTGAC